TTCCAAGTGAAGTATTTGAATGTACCTGTAAACTGAGTTAAATACAATTAAAAGACCTCTTTTAAAGAAAAATATTCTTACATGTAGTAGTGATAACAAGTTAAGGGTAAATTAAGATGTCCGCGTGTGTATACCTCCAAATGTCTGACTTCTCCTTTCCATTTGCATCCATCAACCATGAATGTGCAGTGGACAACTAATGCCTGTACTTCACGTCGCATGAAATTGTCAGGAAAAACCTAATAAGAAAGAAAATTAAATCACAAAATCAAAATTTATGTCATGAAATAACCACAACTTTCTCCAAATCAGTAATTTATGTTCAGCAAAGTTGGGAGTGTTTCAAAATAAAAATGACAACGGAAGTCCATTGTTTAAACAATGTTTCCCATTACTACCCTATTAAGACCCTTGACAATAAACATCTCCAAAAACACGTGTGGCATTTTTCACCAGATCGATTGAACTTTTTTTAAATTTTCATAGTAACTAAATATAACTTAATTTGAATTTGTGACCACCTAAGAATAGACTAATACTACTGACTCACAATTGAATGTCTTTCTTGACAATTCATCACAGTCTTAATGTACTTTACATATATTGTACCTCGTGTGGAAAAAGTTCTGTTTGATCTTGTAAACAGGTCATATTTGTAGTTCCATTTCTACACATATTGAAATACATTTGATTAGTGAGCAACTAATAGTGGTGTTAATTAAAATAAATAAGGCGCGATCAATCTGATTCATGGGGCATACAGATGAGAACTTTATACCAAGATAATCTATGATGTTCTTGGATTTATATAACTGAATAGTTTCATTCGCATTTTTAATTTATTAACAATGAACTGGAAACGCTTTTACATCTCATTATGCAAGCAAAACTGAAAAAGATGCGATTTAGAGCAAACAATAGTGCGATTCGTGAATACCATCGCACTGGCTTTCTGCAACTTGATTGGCTACTTTAAAAAGGCCTTGAAATCTGATTGGTTGATTTGTTCTCACTGGTTAGGAGAAAAAGACGAATTAAGAGAAAAAATAGTGCCATAGGCCATCTTCGTATTCCCAGTATTGGACTGGAACTAGCTGCTACTCAGGCTAATGCGTGAAGCCTTGATATTCCCCACATGAGCCTCCATTGCAAGCTAGTTCTAGTCCAACTCTGTGAATACGAATATGGTCTATTCGACCGAGTATTTTCAAGATGGCGTTACTCAAACACTGACAAAATCTGACCATGTGAGCCAATTAATACGTTGGGCAATCAATTCTCAACACTTGTAGGGACTGCCAGATTATCAAATGTCGGAAAAGAACGTATAATAACTTATTTGTCTGGGAAAGTCAATAAGTATAAACCAATTTTATTCTTCGTGTATATCAGCTTCGAAAGGCAAAGTACTCGTCAGTAGCTAGTGAGTCGTCATTTGAAGAAGGTCAAAGTAAGTGAATTACGGTCGTTCCGTCTGCGAGTAGTTTCGCTTACGCACGGCAAATTCACTGGCGTCGGTACATCTTGGAAATTTGAACTTTTTAGTATAACTTCATCCTCTTCGTTTTAGCAAATTGTAAAAGTAATCACTGTAGATTTCGCAGGCACAACATACTTATTACTCGTTACTGGGATCGACAGATACTTCCAAGGATTAGAACAAAAATACAACAATTGTATAACAAGTATGGTTCTCGTTAAGTGCCGGCCGCCGGCTAAAAAACAGGCCACTTCGATTTCCGAGCCGCCTACTTTTCGTGAAATATTAGTGTGTAAGTTGTAAAGAATAATTTAGGGAAATCATAGGTTTTTTGGAACGCGACAGAATCTTGACTGTCTGCTTCAGGACAATGAAGGCTTTAGCTAGAGAGAGGGCAGGGAGTTAGGTGTGGTGTACGTCTTCAATTACGCTAGTGCTGTAAGATAAAAATTGAACAAGTCTATCTAATCCTTAATATTCTTGGCGTTTTGACCTTTTGATTTTGGAAAAGGAAATATCTCCAGGAGAACGCGTAAAATCGCATTTCAGAGCCTCTCATTTTTAAAGTTTTCTCGGGGAGCATACTCCCAGACCTCCCTAGAGGCTTGTGCCTTCGGCACTCAAGGCACTCTACTTCCTAAATTAATGAGAACCCTGAACAAGCTTTCAAAATGAATGGGTTACAGCCTTAAGTGAAGTTTCATACTTACAACCGTAAGTTTTCAAGACATGACTGGCAGTAAAAGTGACCACATTTGGTCTGAATTGCATCCCTGAGAAGAAGCAAGCAGGAGTTGCAGAGGTATTTTTGTCCTTTGTCCTCTTTGTCTGAGGGCGTCAATCGATATCCTGGCATCTCAGTGGCAAGGGGAAAGGTTCAAAAACTCTTTATGGAAACACTGTGTCAGGTGTCGTGACCACAGGTCAATTTCATCTTCTCAAACGATGACTGGGTTACCTACAAAATGTCAAACGGAAGACAACAAATATTTTACAAACAAGCTTTGACCATCTACTTTGATTGTTGCGATCGGTAAACACTGATTTTCTGCTAGAACAGACGTGCAGAATTTAAACTGGAAACAAAGGAGCATAAGCGCGCGGAAAGACTTTTCTTTAATTTACCGCGTTCGCGTCCATCCTTTAGCGTCACGACTCTTAAATTAGTCCCTTGGTATACCTTGTAATTCCTCATTCGAGGATCGTGGCGTCTCTTCTTTGCGCGTGTTGTTTTATCGCTGATTCTCCGTTGCAAGCGCGGCCAGGACCGTGTTCGGCTCCGCGTGAGCTCCATGAGCGCTTACTTTTCACCGATGTATGTACACGGGCGGTCGTTACATTTGACTTTGTAAGCAATTCCTGTTTTTTGATGGTCCTGTGACCCATCTTTTGGTTTCTTAAAGATTTGGCCGAGCGTTCGGCATGGTTTGAACACCATGCGAATGTTGAAACTTCTGAGCACGCATATCTTCATCATCATGGTCAGCAATCACAACGCCGAGCTCGATGCATGACTTAGCATGTGCATTTGCGTGCGCAGTGAGGAATTGGAGAACACGTAGCACAATCAAAAACCTGATGATAATGTACCTCTTTGTAGGGAAAGCTGCTACTGTGAAGTGCAAACGACTTGCTCTGTGAGATTGGCGGTTTCCTTCCTAGAGTCAGATTCGTCGAGGATTACTTTACTACTTGTATAGCTAGCATAATTGCGACGGAAGTGAAAAGGGAAACCACAATCAAACGATACAAGCTCCTCGTCCTCATCAGTTCTTTCGCTCAGCATTCTCAATGGAGTTTTTCAAAGTATACTGGCCCTCCCTGTAGTGGTCTTAACACGTTTAGCCAAATAACTGGAAAGTTGTTACGTTGGGGTGCCAGTACAACTGTTAATTGGTCTGAGAGGGATGCCCTTGCACTCCTCCGCTGGGATAATATAGTGTTCGTCCTTTGGTACAAGCCCAATTTTATGAACTTTTGGAAAGAAGTCCGTAAAGGACGCAGGATTCGGAGGCCGGAAGGTTACGGTTTTTGTACACTTCCTCGCTAACGTTCCTGATTGCTTAAGAGCGTGACTATGAGAAAACCACGCAGAACCAGGC